AATAGATTGGCATGTGGTAATATTCGATCGTGTCTTTCTAGAGAGCAGAAGTATGCATTTTCTAAGGAAACTTCTGCAAGTAAATTGTGGAAGGCACTGGAGGAGAAATTTTTGAAGAAAAGCGGTCAGAACAAGCTCTACATGAAAAAGAGATTGTTCCGCTTCAACTATGTATCAGGTACCACTATGAATGATCACATTACTAGTTTTAATCAGCTGGTGACTGATCTGATGAATATGGACGTGACTTTTAAAGATGAAGATCTGGCTCTGATGTTGATGGGATCACTTCCTGATGAGTTTGAGTATCTTGAAACTACTCTACTTCATGGGAAAGTTTATATGTCTCTCAATGAAGTAACTGTTGCCTTGTATAGTTATGAATTGAGAAAGAAAGACAAACAAGAAAACACAAGTGTCGAAGAAGAAGCTCTTGTTGTTAGAGGCCGTTCGAAGAGTCAGAATAAAGGAATGAGAGGGAGATCGAAGTCAAAGTCCAGATTGAGCAAAGATGAATGTGCCTTTTGTCGAGAAAAAAAGGCATTGGAAGAAAGAATGCCCCACGCTAAAGAACAAAGGCAAACCTGAAAGGGGAAAGGCTGTCTCAGAATCAAATGTGGTCGAGTATGATGATGCAGATTCAGATTTCACATTCGCTGCTACGCCATCAACTAGCTGTTCCAGTTCATGGCTGTAAGATTCAGCTTGTAGCCACCATATGACCCCCAATAGAGAATGGTTCTTTGATTTTAAAGAACTAAAAGGTGGAATTGTCTACACATCAAATAATTCCCCTCTTGACACACTTGGGATTGGTTCAATTTTCTTGAGGAATCAGGATGGATCAATCAGAACCTTAACAGGTGTCCATTATGTACCAGATTTAATGAGAAATCTCATCTCTATGGGAACCTTAGAGTCAAAAGGTTTAGAAGTGAGGGCAAAAGATGGGATTATGAGGATTATCTCTGGTGCACTGGTGATAATGAAGGGAATCCAGAAAAGAAACAATGTGTATTACTTTCTGGGTAGTACAATTGTTGGGACAGTAGCAGTGGCAGCTTCTACTGATGAACAGGAGTCAGAAGCAACCAGGTTATGGCATATGCGCTTGGGGCATGTTGGTGAAAAATCCTTGAAATTGCTGATAGATCAAGGATTATTGAAGGGTGCTCGGGCTTGCAAATTAGCTTTTTGTGAGCATTGCATCAAAGGGAAGAAGACGATGGTGAAATTTGGAACAGAAATCCATGATACTAAAGGTATTTTGGATTATGTTCATTCAGATGTATGGGGGCCTTCCAAGACAACTTCATTGGGAGGAACACACTATTATATCACATTTGTTGATGATTTTTCCCGGAGAGTTTGGGTGTATACAATGAAGATAAAGGATGAGGTGCTAGGATTTTTCCTTAAATGGAAAAAGATGGTGGAGACTCAAACAGGCAGAAAAATCAAATGTCTCCGTACAGACAATGGTGGAGAGTACAAAAATGATCCATTTCTAAAAGTCTGTGAAGAAGAAGGTATTGTCAGGCACTTCACTGTCAGAAGTACACCACAACAGAATGGGGTGGCAGAGCGTATGAATCGAATATTAGTGGAGAAGGTTCGGTGTATGTTGTCTAATGCTGGGTTAGGCAAAGAATTTTGGGCTGAGGCTTTGGTCTATGCTTATCACCTTGTCAACCGCTTACCATCGACTGCTATTGGTGGTAAAACACCATTAGAGAAATGGTTTGGAGTACCTGCTACAGATTATGATGTCTTACATGTGTTTGGTTCCACTGCATACTACCATGTTAAGGAGTCAAAGCTGGATCCAAGAGCAATGAAGGCGATCTTTATGGGGATCACCTCTGGTGTGAAACACTATCGTCTTTGGTGTCCAGAAACAAAGAAAACAATCTTTAGCAGGGATGTTACCTTTGATGAATCTACCATGTTGAGAAAGGTGACTTCAGAAAAATTGGAACAAACAGATGGAACTCCCAAACAGGTGGAGTTTGAAGGAAGCAGAATTGACCCAGCCAGTAAAGAAACTGATGTTGACTCTCCTATGGTAGAAGAAGAGTCAGATGAAGAAGAGGTTCAGACCCAAGAACCTCCACAGCAACATGAATCAATTGCACTTAGAAAAGGAAAGAGGACCATTAGACAACCTGCTCTTTATGCTGATATGGTCTCTTTTGCATCACCAATTACAATTGATGACGTTCCTGCCACTTTTAATGAAGCAGCCCAAAATTTAGAGCATAAAAAGTGGAGGATCGCCATGAATGAAGAAATGCAATCCCTTCAAAAGAATCAGACGTGGAAACTAGCTAGTCTTCCGAAGGAAAAGAAGAAAATTGGGTGCAAGTGGGTATATGCAAAAAAAAGATGGATTTCCTGACAAGAATAACATCCGCTACAAAGCAATATTGGTGGGTAAAGGCTACGCTCAAACGGAGGGAGTTGATTATAATGAAGTATTTTCTCCGGTTGTAAAACATTCCTCCATCAGAATTTCGTTGGCTTTGGTAGCACAGTTGGATTTGGAACTAGTTCAGATGGATGTAAAAACTGCATTTTTACATGGAGACTTGGATGAGGAAATCTACATGACTCAGCCAGATGGATTCAAAGTTGCTGAAAAAGAAGAGATGGTGTGCAAATTAGAAAAATCACTATACGGATTGAAGCAATCTCCAAGGCAGTGGTACAAGCGATTTGACAAGTTTATGATAGGGCAAAAGTACACAAGAAGCAAATATGATCATTGTGTGTATTTACGCAAGCTACAAGACGGATCCTATATATATCTTCTTCTTTATGTTGATGATATGCTGATAGCTTCCAGGAGTCAGACAGAAATTACGAAACTAAAGACTCAATTGAACAGGGAGTTTGAGATGAAGGATCTTAGTGAAGCAAAGAAGATTCTAGGCATGGAGATATCAAGGGATAAGAAATTGGGGAGGCTTTGTTTGTCTCAGAAAGAATATTTGAGGAAGGTACTAAAACGTTTTGGCATGAATGAGAAGTCAAAACCAGTTAGTACACCTCTTGCTCCTCATTTCAAGCTCGGTGCATCCATGTCACCTAAGGATGATACAGAACGGGAATACATGTCAAAGGTTCCATATGCAAGTGTTGTTGGTAGCTTGATGTATGCAATGGTGTGTACGGGACCCGATATTTCACAGGCAGTTGGGGGTGTGAGCAGGTATATGCATGATCCTGAAAAGGAGCATTGGCAAGCTGTGAAATGGATTCTGCGGTATATTCTGAACACCGTAGATGTTGGTTTGGTCTTTCAGCAGGACAAACAAGATGGTCAGTGTGTAGTTGGGTATTGTGATTCAGACTATGCAGGTGATTTGGACAAGCGTCAATCAACTACTGATTATGTGTTTTTTGCAAAGGCACCAGTCAGTTGGAAGTCCACCTTACAGTCAACAGTGGCTTTGTCTACTACAGAGGCAGAGTATATGGCAGTTACAGAGGCTGTGAAGGAGGCAATTTGGCTTCAAGGGTTGCTTGGTGAATTGGGAATGGAACAAAAGCACATCAAAGTGCATTGTGACAGTCAGAGTGCTATTCATTTAGCAAAGAACCAGGTTTACCATGCAAGGACAAAACATATCGATGTTCGATATCACTTTGTACGAGAGATTCTAGAAGAAGGTGGAGTCATAATCCAGAATATTCGAACCACTGAGAATCCTACTGATATGTTGACAAAAGTGGTAACTACGGTCAAGTTTAAACATTGTTTAGACTTGGTCAATATTGTTACAAATTGAAAGATGAATTTGTAGACACTCTGAAGATTGAATTTTTGAGAGATGTATGTGGAATTTGCCAAGGTGGAGATTTGTTGGTTTTTTGGCAAAGTCCCACATTGGTTGTGTATAAGGATGATGGGAAATTCTTTTGTTATAAATAGAGTCATCCTCCTCCTTAGTTAAGCATCCCACAAATATAAGTCTTCCTCACTATTAAAGGCTATTTGTACTCTTTCTCTCTTTGTAATATTTCCTCTACTAGTGAAATATTATTTTAGTAGTGTTCGAGTAGGTAGGCATAATTTTGGCCTAACCTCGTTAAATTTTGGTGTTCTCTTTATGTCTATTTAATAGCTATTGTCGGGTATAGTTGTTGTTAATTATTGTCCTATTAAAATTACTTGTCTTGGTAGTTCTGTCTAAGGAAAGTGGGTTTTAAGAGGGACCATTGTGACCCCTCTTCTTTCCTGGGAATCTACCTTGGTGTGATTTTTAGTACAATCATTTTCACACTAGTCACCTAGATAATAGTTTTTAAGGTGAATTTGTTATTATTGGTGGAAATTAACCCGAATTCCATAACATGGTGCACAATTCGATCTAGTCAAAATGATCTAAAATGTCAATTTTTCCCTTTTTCTGTAGTTTCCATAAGTAAAACTTGATTTATTCTAATCCCATATCAAATGGTGGTGGAGCTATTACTGACATGTTAATGAAGCTTGAAGCTGCTATTGATGAGAAAGTGGAGTTCTTAAACTTCAATGGCTTAGATGGGACAAATATCTATGGCTCGAGCAAGTAAGCGAGGGTCAGATACTTAAGTGGACGGATGTTTTATTTATCAAATATTATTAATACCTCATTGAATGGTCTCAGAGATAAAAGAGGATATTTATTTTTTTAGAGAACTCGGATTTGAGTAATTGTGTCTGTAGGATAAATGTGTACATTGTCCATAAGGTAAGAAAAAATTTGAACAAATAATATCCTATAATCATTTCAAACTACTAAAAACCCAAATTAAAGAATAATTTCGAGTGTGGAGGACCTAACTGTAAATCCATCAAACTTGAAAGGATTGAATTATAAAATTTGATAAAATATAGGATAAAGTTACTTATCGGGAGTCCAACAAGAACATTGGAACATGACATCCATCCCAACTACCACTGTCTCAATCGATTTACAATTCCTTTTTCTTTTTTAATTATCACATTGCTATAGACCCAATCATGATCTAATCATCAGCTGCTTTTCCTTTTAAAAAACTAATTAAACTCGTGGAAAAGTCGACGGCTTTTTCACCGGGGATTTTTCATCTCTTTATCCCTCTTCTTCAGACATAGTTTGACTTAACCAGCCACGAACAAAGAATTTGCTCTGAATTTCCTTTTTTGGCGTCGGAAATTGTGACCCTTTGAGCTTTACAAGAATTTCATAAATGGGGTGTGCTGGATCGACGCCGGCTAAAGGAGACGGTGAGGGTTTTTTATTTTACTTGTCCTTTTCTTCTTTTTGTTTTTCCTGTTTGGTTTCTGAGAAAATCGTCTGGAAATTTGGAGACTCAAGGAACAATGGGACTAGTTAACCAAATTGTGAACCTTTTGGCTCCTGTAGGGAATGTGAAGAAGATCCGAAGGCCAAAACCATGGAAACATCCTCAGCCGATAACGAAGTCTCAACTCGTGCGGATGCGTGAAGAGTTTTGGGACACCTCACCCCATTACGGTGGCCGGAAAGGTAGTTAGTAGTTACCCTATTATAACATCTTTGCTTGTAGATAATTCTCAATTTCTGTGAATGAGAAGATATGTTGTTGATCTTGTGTTAACCAAACAAAGAAAGATCTTTCCTGTATGAGCTGAAAAACTGAGTTGAAAATCTGATAATGGCAGTTAACCCTCCAGTATGCAGAATCCATTTTTACTGAAAACTGAATAAACTAAACTAATATATTCGTTTAGAGTTAAGCCAAGAACTATAAACATGAAATGAATGAAATCGATACCCTTTTTCTTGCAGTATAGCGTTTTTTACTTGTAATCTGCCTAAATGTAAATGATTTGGTTATTTTTACTTTTATTCTGCCTAAATGTAAATGATTTGGTTATTTTTCACATGAATCTGAGTTGAAAATGCCAACTTTCTGGACTGTAGAAATCTGGGATGCACTTCAGGCTGCAGCTGAAGCAGATTTAGAACTTGCTCAAGCGATCGTGGACAGTGCAGGGGTCATAGTGCAAAATGCTGATTTAACCATCTGCTATGATGAAAGAGGTAAACTGACATTGCTGCATCAGATTTCGATATCACTTTTTTTTTCTCGGTTGAAATCTCTTCTTGACATGCCTTGCACCAACTCATCTTTGCAGGTGCTAAGTACGAACTACCCAAGTATGTTTTGAGTGAGCCGACAAACTTGATCCGAGATAGTTGAAGACCGATTGCAAACGTACGCAAGGTTGAATATAAATCATGTATATTACTCCCTCGTCTTCTTCAAAACCTTTTATGAACTCAGGGTCACTTAGGTGCCCTTTTAACCTGTGTTTTTACTTTTTAATGCTGATTAGGTTACTGTTAAGTTTCTCTGATGAAATGATAAAGGGAATAAACATTCGTTTGAATTGAGTAATACAGTTCCGTTGAACTCAATTTACCATTCATAATAATCCATGGAAATGTACCTGAACATAGATTGATTTCCGTTAAAGCAACTTGCCATTACCACAAAGCTCATATAGAACAGGGAAGCAAAAGGTAAAACGCACTTGATACTGATGATCCAACCTTTTTGAAGAAAGATAGAATATTTCCTTGCTTAGGATCCTTGGCATTTCCATCATTCTTGTTTCCAGCTTTACCTCCTGGATTAGATGGTGCAGTGGTTCCAACTGCAGGGGACTTTTTGGCTGCAGCAGGCCTGCATCAAGGATTCAAATAGTTAGATTGCACCAACAATCGCATATCTAAGAGAACAGGAACAAAGATTGGCCTCAGTGCAGGCAAGTATTCTCATTGACAGCATAGCATGGAAAACAACCAATATGTCGATGTCTAGAACTAGCAAAATTAGACAAGATGCAGTTTGAGCACCGGAAAGACTGCATTGTAGTAACAAGATATACGATTCCTTCACCCCTTTTCTCTATTCTCTTCCCTCCTTAGAGTTGGTATACACAATTTTATGGTTAAAGACAATTAGAACAAGCAGAAAAAAGGCATGGTAAGGGGGTGGAAAGTAGCATCACCTGCTATTAGTATTTGAGACTGTTTGTTTTTAGCATTGGTTGTTCCACTTCCAGCTTTCTTCTGCATGTCACTTTCAACTTTCTTCACCTCCGTCTCCTCGCCTTCCCAAACTACCTCAGTACCTAATATTTACATAAATGGAAAAGGATGATATGAGAAGATATTAATTTCGCAAGTACACTGTTCACTCCAATTTGGCGCACTTAAGGGGGGAAAAGAGGATAAGTATGTGCATTTGAGGGGAAGACAGCAGATAAACAAGCATTAACACCATGAAAATTTTACAGTAATTAAATTTAAGTTTAGCATATCCATGAAAATTATAAATTGCATTAGCAAAATGGCAATTGAAGATAGAATTAAATAATACCCCATTGGTTACAAAGAGAAATATTAGCAGTGGGTAAGCGATTAATATGCCTTCCCCTTAGTTTGAATCCAGTAGTTTCCTTGATCGAACTGAACATAGCTTCAATTGTTAATGCTTGAGATTGAAAAATCCTCTTGTTTCTTTCTTTCCAGATTGTGTGGATCAAAGCATTCGAGGAGAGTTTCATGATTGAAGTGAGGAGGGAAGATCCCTTCCAGTTAGCAGTTGCCCAAGCGTAGAGAGCATCCCATGAATGATGGCTAAACCGAAGACCACTGCAGGAGAAAATTGCAGACCACAGTGCAGTAGCAACCTGACACTTGAAAAATAAATGGTTTCTTGTGTCCATTCCAGCACCACAAAATGTGCAGTGGCAGTCAATGACGATCCCCATTCAGTGGAGCCTCTCTTTTGTGGGGAGTCGGTCAAGGAATGCCATCCAAGATATAAGGCTATGTTTAGGAATTAGAAGAGGGAACCAAAGAATAGATTGCCAGTGAACTTTCGGGTTCTTCACCCTAATGCCATTCCAAATATCACTAATTTTCTTGGAGACAGAAGGCAGAATAGAGGAAGCTTCAGACCTTAGCATCAAAACATGTTTTAAGCTCCAGCTCATGTTTGATTTGACTGCAACAGACCAAAAATCATTAGTTCTAAACATGTAGCTCTTTAGCCATGCTACCCACAAAGATCCTTCACCAGCTAGTATGTTCTTTATTAGGCTCATCATGCAAGCTTTGTTCCAAGTTTTTAAATCCTTAAAGACCAATGCCTCCCTCTGATTTGGGACGGCAGATTTTCGGCCAACTTTTGCTTCATCTTTGTTTGGCTTGTCTGAAACCAAAACCGGTCTCTCTAGAGCTGATGTTTTAGAATTTTGTTCTGAATCTAAAAATGATTTCCTTTTAGGGGATCAAGTGAAGCTAGATCAACAGCATCATCGTACTCATCTTCATCCGACAAATCAAAAACTACCCTCTGTTTCCTATTGCTTTCATTTTTAGAAACTTTTCCAAAATTAACTTCTTGAGCATCAATGTCATTGTTCTCATGTTATGCTGCTTGACGAGCACAAACCTGTGCATCTGCAGTAACAAATAATTCAAAAAGAACTTATATAAATAAGAGAAGTAGCTATGAATATAAAAACCATGTTGTAGAAAAGCAAAATTTTAAATAGCAGAATCACTGAATAATTTGAGCTCTAGATTGTTGAATAAAAATTCGCTTTATGATTTATAGAATGCACTTAAAAAATTCAAATATGAAAGAAACTCTAGTAATAGAACAAACGGAAACAAACCATTGGAATTTTGGATGGGACCATTGTTATCTGCTGGCACAGTACAGGTCTTTGGTTTAGTAGCTGCATGATCCCAGAAATTTGCTAACGAACCTCAATTTCCAGCGGAACCTTTATCATTCTGGCATTTCTTTTTACTAGAAGGCAAGGAATAACTTTTTCTTTATCACAAGGCTTGGTGGCCAGATCATGGACTCTTAAATCATTTCTTTCTCCCAATACTAGAGAGCTTTCTTGTGAGTAGTGAGTGTTTTGTAAATACTTGTAAATTTTTTCTCTTAGTAAAATATCTGCAGCAGTCCGGAGACGTAGGCATAATTGGCTGAACTCCGTTATCAATATCGGGTATTATTTTTTCGCTTTTATTTTGCATTCTCACTAATATGATTATAGGGAAATTACTCGTTCTCGTTTTATTTCCCAACAACTGGTAATCAGAGCTTTTGGTTGTGAATTTTGTCAATTTTTTGCGAGGTTACTATTCATTACTATTCACATGAATAGTGAATTTCGTGAATAGTAAAAAAATTGTCAGCGATACGAATTTTGTCGACGGATGTGTTCTAATACACAGTGGTTCGCAAGAATTGTCAGAAACGATCCAAATGAAGCCAGATTCGAGTGGGAGCGATGGCCGCAGACGAAGGGAAAGTGAAAATTGAGAAGTTCGATGGTGCGGACTTTGGCTTTTGGAATATGCAGATTGAAGATTTTCTGTACAAGAAAAATCTATATCAACCTCTCTAGGAAAGCAACCAGATGGCATAAAGAATGAAGACTGGGCTCTTCTCGACAGACAAGCCCTCGGAGTTATCCGACTGACGTTGTCCTGAAATGTTGCTTTCAACATAGCAAAGGAAAAGACCACGGCAAGTCTAATGGCGGCTCTCTCCAGTATGTATGAGAAGCCATCGGCCTCAAACAAAGTTCATTTGATGAGGCGATTATTCAATTTGTGGATGGCAGAAGGGGCATCAGTGGCTCAACACCTAAATGAACTCAACACAATCATAACCCAGTTGAGTTCCGTGGAAAATGAATTCGATGATGAAGTTCGAGCTTTAATTCTCTTATCATCTCTACCAGACAATTGGAATGCTACTGTTACAGCAGTCAGCAGCTCGTCGGGAAACATCAAATTAAAATTCGATCTGGTACTAAGCAAAGAAATTCAACAGAGAGAATCGGGTGAAGCATCAACCTCCTCAGCCTTGCACACGGAGTTTAGAGGGAGAACTTAATAAAGAAATTCAAATCGTGGCAGATCAAAATCCAGAAGGGAAAAAAAGATTTTACCTGTTATAACTGCGGCAAGAAGGATCACTTTAAAAGAGATTGTCGAGCACCGAAGAAAAATACTGGCGTACAGGATTATGCCAACGTGACAGAGGAGACAGGTGATGCCATGATTCTAAGCGTCAGCAAACCGATTGAATCATGGATCTTGGATTCAGGGGCATCTTTTCACTCCACCCCATGCCGAGAAATCATGGAGAACTATGTCGGTGGTGATTTTGGGAAGGTTCATCTAGCTGATGATGAAACCTTGAAGATCGTCGGAAAAGGAGACATCCGATTAAATTTGCCAAACCAGACCACCTGGAAGCTAAAAGGAGTAAGACATATTCCTAGCCTCAAAAGAAATTTGATTTCTGTAGGACAACTTGATGGAGAAGGATATAGTACAACCTTTTCAGGCTATGAATGGAAGATTACCAAATGAGCACTCGTCATTGCTCGTGGTAAGAAGAATGGTACTCTCTATGTAACCTCAAATTTAGAGAATATCATTGTTGCAGCATATGCTGATGGAAAATCAATCATATGGCACTAAAGGCTTGGACATATGAGCGAGAAAGGGATGAAGACACTTTTTTCAAAAGGGAAGCTGCTGGATCTAAAGAATGTAGATGTCGAACTATGTGAAGATTGCATCTTTGGAAAACAAAAGAAAGTCAGTTTTGCAAATATTGGAAAGACACCAAAGGCAGAAAAGTTAGAGTTGGTTCATACTGATGTATGGGGACCATCTCTAGTTCCATCTCTTGCAGGCTCATTATATTATGTCACCTTCATCGATGATTCAACAAGGAAGGTGTGGTTTATTTTCTGAAAAAAAAATCAAAAGTCTTTGATACCTTCAGAAAATGGAAGGCCATGGTGGAAAATGAGACTAGTTTGAAAGTCAAGCGGTTGAGGTCTGACAATAAAGGATAATATTGAAACAGTTCTCATGACACCGCAGTAGAATGGCGTAGCAGAGCGCATGAACAGAACTCTGAATGAATGTGCTAGAAGCATGAGGATACATGCTGGATTGCCCAAATTTCTATGGGCTGAAGCTATCAATACTGCAGCTACCTGATCAACCATGGGCCCTCAGTTCCCTTGGATGGTGGAATACCAGAGGAAGCTTGGAACAAGAAAGAAATAAATCTTTCACACTTAAGAGTGTTTGGTTGTATTTCTTATGTACTTATAAACTCTGCTGAAAGAAGTAAACTTGATGCCAAGTCCAACAAATATGTCTTTGTTGGTTATGGTGGTGATGAGTTCGGTTACCAGTTTTAGGACTACGAAAATCGAAATATCATCAGAAGCAGAGATGTCATTTTCAATGAGAATGTGATGTACAAAGACAGGTCAACAATAGAATCAAGTAGCTCCAATACCGAAGTTGAAACAAAGGAATTTGCTAAGTTTGAGGAGATTTCTGGAAATAATGTTCAGATCAATCCTGAAGTAGTTCAAGAAGAACCAGACACACCAGAACTGATACGCTCCTCCAGAATTCCTAAACCAACCCAGCGTTATTCGCCTTCTTTGCACTACTTGTTGCTGACTGACAATGGTGAACCAGAGTGCTATGATGAAACAATGCAGGTGGATGATTCAGTCAAGTGGGAGTCTTCCATGAAAGATGAGATGGATTCGCTTATGTCAAATCAGACGTGGGAATTAGCTGAATTACCACCAGACAAGAAAGCGCTCCACAACAAGTGGATTTACAAGATCAAAGAAGAGCACGATGGGAGCAAACGCTACAAAGCAAGATTGATTGTCAAAGGTTTTCAGCAAAAAAAAGGTATTGACTACAATAAAATTTTCTCTCCAGTCGTAAAACTGTCTACAATCAGACTGGTATTGAAAATTGTAGCTGCAGAGAATTTACATCTTGAGCAGTTAGATGTAAAGACAGCTTTTCTTCATAGTGATTTGGAGGAAGAAATCTATATGAGGCAGCCAGAAGGCTTCATAGAGGCAGGCAAGAAAAACCTGGTATACAGGTTTAAGAATAGCTTGTATGGTTTAAAACAAGCTCATAGACAGTGGTACAAGAAGTTCGATAGCTTCATAAGTAGCAGTGGTTTTACCAGATGCCAAGCAGATCATTGTTGCTACATCAAGAAGTTCGACAATAGCTTCATTATTTTATTATTGTATGTTGATGACATGCTTGTTGCAGGTTCAAACATGCAAGAGATTATAAACTTAAAGCAAAGATTGTCGAAACAGTTTGCAATGAAAGATCTGGGCGCTGCAAAGCAGATTCTTGGGATGAGGATTAAGAGAGACACAAAGTCGGGGACTTTGATGTTATCACATGCTGAGTACATCAACAAAGTAATCTCCAGGTTCAACATGCAAGATGCTAAACCAGTAAGTACACCTTTAGGTGTTTATTTTAGACTCTCCAAAGAACAGTCACCAAATACGGAGGAAGAACGTGCACACATAGTGAAGGTGTCGTATGCCTCAGCAATTGGAAGTTTGATGTATGTCATGGTTTGTACCATACTAGATATTTCTCATGCAGTGGGAGCTATTAGCAGATACATGAATAATCCGGGCAAAGTACACTAGGAAGCAGTCAAATGGATCCTCAAATATCTGCGGGGTACCACAAACAAAGCACTTTGTTTCAAAGGTAGAGATACGATACTGACAGGTTATGTAGATGCTGACTTAGCCGGGAATGTTAACATCAGAAGAAGCACTACAGGGTATGTCTATACTCTAGGAGGAACTGCGGTGAGTTGGGTTTCTCAACTACAGAATATAGTTGCTCTCTCCACAACTGAAGTAGA